GCTACAAAGAGAGGGGAACTACCGAGAACCAGCAATTCTATAGAAAAAAGTTCCAATATTAGGAATGGCAATGGGGCAGGTTCGGGGCGGGGCATGGATTCCCAAACCCGCCCCGATAACTTTCAGGTATCTTATCGGGGCGCCCCATTGGGTTTCGGGTTTCCCCGTCGGGTTTCGGGTATCTTATCAGGTTTACAACAACTGATAACGAAATCTTTATTCTCTTTTAGGGTACCCCAATATTTTATAAAATATACATGTTCTAGCAACTCTTTTAAATTAAAAACATGATGCATCACTTTAATAAAATAAACTGGACGTTATATAAAAAATTATTTGATTTAAGTTTTGTTTAATACGTCAAAACACATAAAAATGATAATTAACACTAGATTGTTAATAACTAAAAAATTGTCTACGATAAGTATTTTATATTTGAACGTGTACAATTAACAGCAAATTTTTTTGAACATATATATATATATATATATATATATATATATATATATATATATATATATATATATAATCGGGGCGGGGCGGGTCGGGGCGAGGATAACCCACTCCCTGCCCCGAACCCGATAAAAAACCCGATAACGACCCGTTACCCGATCCGAAATGATCGGGTTTCGGGTTTCCCCGTCGGGTTCGGGTTTTTTTGCCATCCCTATCCAATATCATTGTACCGAGTCTAAAAATCAATTAAAAAACTGTATTCAAACTCTTAAAACATTTTTTGATCGTCAATTTCAAGATTCATGTGGCATCAGATAGTTCCATTGGTGATGTTGAGCTATAAAAATCAAAACAAAAAACAAACATGAACATATAATTAAGAATTTGAGGAAAATAGGTGGAATAGTTGAAAACCTTCATCTTCAGTCATTGTAGAGACCACTGGGTAGTCCATGCTGAAAAAAGGTTATTGAAGAGTTAGGGTTTTTTAGCATTATATGAACTAAGATATAGAATATATGAAGATAAATTTTGTTAATGGACTTTAATTCCTTTTGCAGTCACTGCATTCCTTTTACAGTCAACCCCTTCTGTTTCCGACTTCTTTTCCACCTCCTCTATCGTATTCCCTTTCCTTCGAAGGCATTCGTATATTTCCAAGAAAAACCAAAACGACTTTGGGAAAACATGAAATACCAAACAAAACCGCTTTGTCGATTGAAGACCAAATAAACCTCGACAATCGATGGAGGTGGTACGTAGATTCTGATTAGAAAAGAAAAGAGGCGAGGAGGTGATCGACTTACTTGAAGTGTTTTGGTGAGGTAGGCAGTAGCCATCAACCTCAAAGAGAAGTCGAATGAAGTGTCGCATGCATGGGGGTGGGACGATCGTCAGCCTCGTCTCCACTGGTGGGACGTCGAGCCCGGATGGTTGATGATCGGTTAAGTACAGAAGAGAGTCGATTTGGGTGACCAGTGATGGAAGGTAGATCGATTTAGCGGATGAAACTGAATAAATATTTGATAAAGTGGTGATACGCACACTAATCCCATTGTGACTGGTTAAAGTGGCGGTGAAATCAGACATATAGGGTTTAGAATTAGTATATTATGTAATTGGATAAATAGATAAATAACACAAAATAGACAAAAAGAAAATAGAAAAAAAATTAGCCAATAGTAAAGAGTTACTATTCACCATGCACTTGTAAATATATATATATATATATATATATATATATATATATATATATATATATATATATATATATATATATATATATATATATATATATATATATATATATATGGTTAGGTTATAATGTGGATTGTAACTATTATGTGGATGTAAGGATCCTTTGTGGTCCAAGCATTTTTCCTAAATTAAATTATATTTAAAAATGAAAATTATCGGATTTCAAGTGATAATTGATTTATTAAATTTAAAACTTATGATTTTTTTTAGTTAATTCAAATCGAACATATTTTTTCAATCATAAATGATCTGATTCTGATAGAATGATATTCGGACAGAATACATATTCTGATTGAATGAACATTTTGAAAAATTACAAAATTTTGAACCATGAGTTGAAGAATAATAACAAAAATTATATTAATTCTTATAAAATACGGGTACAATTACTAACAATTACATTTATTGTTAAAGAATAAAACTAAAAAAAACTTTCAAATCGGGAAAGAAAACATCAAAATCTAACAAAGACACTAATACATTCTAAAATAATAATGTTGCTTAGAATCACTTTCAATTTTGTGGTCCGTTCTTCAGGCATTAACTTCTGTGAAAACAAAACCAAATTGTAGTTTAGAATCCAATAATGCATTAGCAAATGAAAAATAAAAAAATAAAAAATAAAAAGCTAAATTACTTTGGAAAATATGCGGACTTATGAATTGCACCAAAACCAATAACCAAGAATTGTAGAACATGCATAAATCAGTGAGAAAATATACATATTCCATTCCAACATAATTGGAATTCGTGATTCCATTCCAATAGAATTGGAATTCAAAGATTCAGTTACAGAATCTAGAAAAAAAAAATTAGAAACTGAAATAAATCAAAAGAATAAACTGAAATAAATCAAAAGAAGTTGTACAAATTTTGCAACTTCTTATGATAGGAACACCATCTTCTCTCCAAAGGAACAACATTTATGGAAACCCAGTTGAATTTCCAATCAAAACTAAATGGGGGAATCGATTGCGTATTGGAATCGATGAGAACGTGTAATTGTGAGAAAGAATGAGAGAGACAGTGAGGGACATCATACTGTAGGGTTTTGGTGATGAAAATTCGAGCAGGTGGGATAAAATTCGTTCTTTTTCTGTGTATTAAGGGCATCTCGTAGAATCCTTGCATAAACCATTGAGCTAATTGATTATTACCGTTTCGATCTCCATCACTCGGACAGCCAATTTCACCCACTATGATTCCCATATTTGTGAATCCATTCTTTTGTATGGCCCAGACGAGGGTATCGTAGTTGACATCAAACATATTTGTGTAGGTGGTGCCGCCGTCGTTCAGCAAAGTTGCGTTTCCATCGAAGAATGTGTATTACACCGAAAAATTAGAGTCGATGTAGAGGCTTATGAAGGGGTAGATGTTGACAGTGAATGGAGATCCATTTTCGTTTAGGAATTTGGTGAGTTGGATCATCTAATCTCGCGGAATCCTTCATCACACGTCGATTGAACGAGACTGGAGGCATATTGTGAATGTGGATGAAAGAGGCAATAGGTTTTTAAACAAAGTAATTGCCTAAACTAAAGGATAGATGTTTTAATTAATTATTTATTAAAATTAAATAATACTTGGCTCATATTAATTCCTACATTCACACAATATTTTTTAATCCACATTTGAACATCTCTCTCTCTCTCTCTCTCTCTCTCTCTCTCTCTATATATATATATATATATATATATATATATATATATATATATATATATATATATATATATATATATATATATATATATATATATATATATATATATATATATATATATAGGGGAGGGTTCAATTGAGAAAAAAAAAGGTTGAAAATAGGGGAATCATTCTCAGCCAATCATTTATTTTTGCCGCAAAAGGCTCCAACGTACCGGCGGAAATGAGAAACGAATGCACATGTGTTTTTCGACATAACATATTTCCTTAAACTATGCTAATCATTACCTTAATATATACAAAAACATAGTTTTTTTCGTTTTTTTTTTTAATTTTTATAAGCTATTTTTATCAAAAAATGATTTTAAATATACCAAAATTTATGATTTTTTATTCTCTACAAATAGACATCTATATTGATATAGTTTTAAGATACAATAAAAATTTTATTTTTTTTATATTTTCAACTATCTTTATTCATAAATGAATAACAATGCATCAGGTTTTATTACAGTACATTCGTTATTCACTTATGAATAAAAAGTATGATTTTTTTTTTTTACAATTTAAGTATCATTCATATATGAATATAGCATATAATAAATATAGTATATTCATATTTTAATATTGGATGATGAATTCACTTGTGAATATTAACATAGTATATTCACTTGTGAATATTATATGGTATATTCACTTATGAGTATTAAATGATATTTCATATGTGAATATTACATAGTATTACATGGTATATCACATGTGAATATTACATAATATATTCACTTGTGAATATTAGATGATATATTCACTTATCAATATTACACAGTATATTCACATATGAATATTACAAGGTATATTCACTTATGAATATTGAAGGTATTTTGACAAATATATATAATTTTTATATGTTATTCACATATGAATAACATACAGACTTGCATATTTGTTTTGTGTTTTTAATAATCATATACTGATTTAGGTGAGAAAACATATTCATATGTGAATATAATGTGGTAATTTAGTTTATGCATTTCATCAAACAGTTGGAGTGCAAACAAGTTAACTATTTTAAAAATGTTAAAAACATCAAGTTATCAATTCCAAATCATCATATACTTCCGATTTCGACTTCAGATGCGACATCCTATCTCTGATCGATTTCTCAATTTGATTTTGATTTCCGAAAATCCGATTGGGAACCTATGAGTACCGATTCTAAGTCCCTCAATGTCGACTGTGATTGCGAGTCCAAAACTCCGATTCCAATTTCATGAACAGCGAAGAAATTCCAGTTTAGTTGAAAAAATCTTGATGATTATTGAAGGTTAGAGGAAAATTTTTGATGATGTACGAACAGTTATCGAATTCTCTATAGTTACGTATTTGAGATTGAAGGTTATTACGATATTTATAAGTTTGTCACCGTGTCTTTTATGTTTTAGATTAAATGAGTGACTGAGAATGATTCCCCCATTCTTAACCTTTTTTTATTTTTCTCAATTGAACCCATATATATATATATATATATATATATATATATATATATATATATATATATATATATATATATATATATATATATATATATATATATATTGTTTTTTAGTTTCTTTTTTTGGAAACAGCTAGTTGTCCATATTTATTGATTGGCAGAAGAATTAATTTTTAAAGACTTACAACCTTGACTAATGCAAGGTAAGGTGTATATAAATCGTAGTTTGCATGTTCAAATAATCAATCTCAAGTCTTCTGTCAAATTCATTCATTCATACGTACTAATCGCTCGCTGACGCAGAGGTATTGTTAGTTGCACGAAATCCTCTGTTTTTCTATTCATGGCGTAAAGGAATTTGTAGGGTTATAATCATGAATGTTGTCCCTGTGCAGATGGCGCAAATAGATGGACATTTAGCCCCAACCTTAACCCCTGATCCGCAGGATATCAGTATTTCGGTTGGTTCAAATCATCCTACAAAACCTATTCCAGATCTACTCACCGGTAAATTCTGCTACCCATTTTACTCTTTACTTCGTCTACTGCTATTTAACACCACATTATTCCTTTGCACTAGTGCCCCACGCTTGACCATGGTTGAGATAAGTGTTTATACCTACCTTTCCGTTTCCTTCGGGAAAATTAGCAAATTTTGCAAACAAGGCTAAAATCAACAGTGGAACGCCATTGCTGTTTCCTAGATAGTCTACATTTAGATGAATTGATTTTCAGTTGTCATATCTAATAGAGTAAATCACACAAAGTTTGACCCAATCTTAGTTTCATATCTTTGTTTTGTTTTTCATTCCGACCAAACCTGAAATGAGTATATTGCCTTTATCAGTTTCTTTTTTCTTTTTATTTATTATTTTTTTTCAACCTCGTTTAAAAAAAAATGAGATCTATTTTGGTTTTCAGTCTTTTTCAAAATATATTAAAAATAAATAAATAAAATTTTAAAAACAAATTGGTAAGATGGGTATGAAAGAAAAGTTGGATGATATTTACTTTCTCAATTTGTAAACGCAACATAGTCATTTCACGTTTGGTAGGGATAAGTCACGTTTAAAACTAAGTGAAAAAAAAAAAAAAAAAAAAAAAGGACATACAGACGAAACAAGCAGATTTGTGTAATTTACTCTATATAATGTTATTTCAATATTCAAAGACACCAACAAGTAATTAAAATCAAAATTATACTGTGCTTAATTTTAATGTGTTAAACCAAATTGAAGGATTCAAAGTAGTTGTATGCAACTATAACTGATGCTTAATATATCATGTTGAAAAGTTAAAAGAATATTACAAATATTGTCCCTGGATGAATTGGTGCTAACTTTGCATTGGATTTTATTATAAAGGAACCAGAAAAGATTATATTGCAATCGCTGTCCCTCTATATGAAGCATCAATCAGAGGTGATTGGAAAGCTGCTAAAAAGATTCTTGATGAAAGGCCAGAGTTGGTTAGGTATAGTATCACTGCAAATAATGAAACAGCACTTCATGTTGCTGCATCTGCAATAAGCACCAAAAAGGTTGAAGAATTTGTGGAAAATCTGATCACTAAGATGAAAAAGGAGGACCTGGAACTTAAAAATAGCAGTTCCAACACTGCCCTGTGTTTAGCTGCTGCAGCTGGCAACGTTAAAATAGTTGAGATTATGGTTAAAAGCAACAGGGCTTTGGTGGCAATCACTGGTAGTAGAGGAATGACACCACTGTATATGGCAGCCTTGTTTGGCCATTATGAGATGGTGAAGTGTTTGTATGGATATTCCCAGAAGTTGCGTGACGATTGCTGGACAGATGAGACCCGTAGTTGGCTTCTTCTCAAATGTGTGGAGACTGATATGTTTGGTAGGTGTTTTAGCATGTATGTAGTTATTACACCTACAAATTCTCTATGTTGTTTATGGCAATAATCCTTTTTATATATCTTAAACTTGCTGAAAATTAGCTTAACGGGGTAGGTTTACTGTTTACACAACTAATATCAACCATGAGTTTTAACTTTCTTGAACTAGATTTGATGATTTATTTCCGGATTGATATAAAGCCAACGAGCGTTATGCTTCGTTGTATAGCAGTAATATTCCCTAGCTAACAAAGTGACTATTGAATTTGTTTTAGATATCGCATTGGATATTGTGAAAGAGCACTCAAAACTTGCTTCTAGTGGGAGTGCACTTGGAGCTTTGGCTCCAAAGACAAATGTATTTGCTGAAACAGAATCTAATATCATCAGGAAAACTATCGAGTGGGGTAAGCATCTCAACTCCTTTTCTTTTTATAAAATTTTCTGTTCTCTTATTTTTGATCGGTTAGGTTAAGACCACCAATAAACATATTAATTCTAAAGTCTAAACCATGTGATATGCCAGAAATTTGCTAGTAATAACAATATTCCTCTATATTTATCCAGAGTAACTGAAGTCTATAACCCAACTTTATCCATCATTTTTTAACTTGTAAATATCTGGTAGGCTCTGATAACTGAAATTAGCTAAGCCCATCTTCGGATTCTTTTCCCATTGTTGCTTTCAGTTTGGACTTGCATTCATCCAAAGGTGGGACCTTCTAAAACGGAAAGTAAAGCTAATGCATTGGAACTACTAAATATTATTTGGGGAGCAATTGCGGAGAAGCCTACGAATGAAATTGATAACATAATCAGAGGGCACCCTGATCCCGTTAAGAAAGATGACAAGCCAGCTTCTGACACAGAAAAAACTCTACATCTACTACAAAAAATTTCACAAAATACTTCCACAAAGCACGATGGAAGTGGGATCATAAACAAAGAGCATGCTGCTATAACTACAAACAATACGAATGTAGCCTTGCAGGAAAATGCAAGACCAAAGTACTCTTCCCGAATACTGTTTATTGCTGCTGAAATGGGGAATACTAGATTTGTTATTGAGCTCATCCGTCTATATCCTGATATAATATGGAAACTAAATGATGACAATCAAAGCATATTTCACACTGCTGTCAAACATCGTCATGAGGGTATCTACAACTTATTGTACGAGATAGGCTCAATGAAGGATCTCATAACTCCCCTTAAAGATACAAATGAGAACAACATGTTGCACCTAGTTGGGAAGAGTGCTAAGAAAAAGCGACTTGAGGATGTGTCTGGAGTTGCTTTTCAAATGCAACGAGAACTATTATGGTTCAAGGTATATATGTTTTCTTCCCCACACTATCTTTCTTTCTTTTTCCACTTACATCACTTCATTTCATCTAACATTGACATAAAACACGTTGTCACAGGAAGTGGAGGAGATGATCCCTCCTTCTTATCGGGAACGTAGGAACAAAGATGGATTAACACCACACGAGTTATTCACCAAGGAACACAAAGATTTAGTCAAACAAGGTGAAGATTGGATGAAAGATACAGCTAGTCAATGTATGGTGGTTGCCGCACTTATTGCCACCATTGTATTTGCTGCAGCTTTCACAGTTCCAGGTGGCTATGATCAGAATGATGGCATCCCCATTTTTTCTAAAAATTTACCCTTCATCACTTTCGCAGTGGCAGATGCCATTTCTTTGTTCTCTTCATCAGCTTCGATCCTCATGTTCTTATCCATACTCACATCACGTTATGCCGAACGTGATTTCCAGGAGTCATTACCCAAAAAGCTGATGTTAGGTCTAGCAACACTTTTCCTCTCCATAACAACCATGATGATTGCTTTTAGTGTTAGCTTCTTCGTGCTATACCACAACAAACTGAAATGGATACCGATCCTTATCGCGTTTTTTTCTGCCTTGCCAGTCATCCTATATGTTTCGCTTCAGTTTTCTCTGTTAAAAGACGTCTTTTTCTCAACATATGCTTCTAGGTACCTCTTCCGGCCCAAGAAACATATTCTTTACTATGAAAACTAATCGCCGTTTGTTCCCATTCACAATGTTTTTCATTTCAAGATGTACTTCGAAAATGTTGTAACTGTTGTAAGTTTAAACTTTTAATTGTAATATGATTCACTCATGTTTGTTGCAATGGCTTTGTTTAGATTCACATCATAGGGAGACAAGAAATGGAGAGATTCTCCATGAATGATATGAGAGCCCAAAAACCCACTTTAATCAAATAAATAAATTCCTCACATTGGCCACGACTTTTCTTACCATCCCATATAACTTTTCTTACCATCCCATATAACTTTCTAGTTTACAAAATGAGAACGCAAAACAGAAAAGTAATCAAAATTCACTCTTTGATTAAATGGAAAAACTAACTCAAAACCGATGTTTTACAATCTATTCTAATAATCATAAACTCGATTATAGATAGGTATATATAGACTAACAAACCAACTTGTATTAAACTAGGAAACTTATGACCAACTTGCCATAAACTAAACTTCCATAAATTAGATTGTGTGGTCTCCAAGTCCTCATCGACTTAGGATTCCAACAATCACCCCCAAATCTCTAAGTATTTCTAGAGAATTCTTCAACCCCGATCAACATCCTATTATCTCTTTTCACCACCCCGACCTCTTTATCAAGCTTGTTCTGAGAGCAACTTTCCACCTAACAACAAGACTAGGTCACGACCACATTTACCGTCTTCCGTCACCTGCAAAACGAACCGAATCAAAGCCACTCGCTTTGACGTCTTCTCGTTCGTTTATTTTGCGTCTCCGGTTGATCTCTCTCTACCTTAGAACCAGCCTGATCAAGAAAAATTGAGGCTGCTGTTGAGATGCTTCAACTCGTAATCAAAAACAATCTACACCCCCTTAAAACGAACCCGGTTCCCGCTGCGTCTGCCCCACAGCAAAAAGCTACGGTATTCTTGAAACCGACTCTCAAACCGGCACCGTCTTCACCTCGCTCTGATACCAATTCTAGTTTACAAAATGAGAACGCAAAACAAAAAAGTAATCAAAATTCAATCTTTTATTAAATGGAAAAACTAACAAACCAACTTGTATTAGAATAGGAAACTTATGACCAACTTGCCATAAACTAAATTTTCCATAAATTAGATTGCTTGGTCTCCAAGTCCTCATCGACTTAGGATTCCAACAAACTTTTCAACAAACAGTGATTGATCACTACACACTAAATTAACTGTATGTAAAATTAATATATGCCATCAAATAATTTCAACAAGGATCCAAGATTCAATACCCATTTGAGCTCAATTCTTAGAAAACCACAACAAGGGTTCATAATGTAAACCATACCTCTGATTTCTTTAAATTTTGGCAAATAGCTTGAAGAGTAAATAGCCAAAAAAACACTCAGTTTACACTAAAATTCTAATTTGACATTGTTTTTTTATCACAAATTTGATATTGTGTTTTCCAATTTGTTACAAATTTGACTACTTGACCAGTCAACCAGGTTACATGCTGACGTGACATGATGACGTGTCAGTTTTGATGACTTGGCTTGCTGATATGATATGCTAATGTGTCAAAATTAAATTTTTTATCCACAAAAACAATAAGTTTTCACTTTTTTTCGATTTTGACACTAAGTTTATTTTTTTCTTTCAACTTTGACACTATGTTTTTGGGATAATGTCATAAAAAGCCTTAATTTTTGTAATAAAAAAAAGTCGGTTTTACCCTCTGGCGGGTTTTTGTGTCATTAATGTCTCATACTTGTGTCACCTTTTGTGTTTATGCCAAATACCCGGTTGCAAGAGGGTTTACCGGTTACCCCTCTACTTACCCCTCAACTTTTCCCCGCGTTTCTTAACCAACGAAGAAATTAACCCCGTTTGGTAAACGTTAGACATAGTGCTCCACACCCTCTCTCCGAAGCGTCAACTCAATCTACGTAAATCGTAGTCTACAAAGAAAAATCTTGGGCTTTTGGAAGGGAATCATCACGAAATTTGGGTATTTGAAGAGGATTAGGTCTACACTGTTGGCATCGTTGTTCTAGCAGGAAGATAGTTGGGTGATAGTCTCGTTGAGTTGTTGAACCAGTAAGTTTCTCAAATCCATGATTAAAGCAATTATCTATTTAAAATTCTTTGATTTTGTTTGTAAAATCTTTTTGATTTTGCAGGTAACTGTAATGGCTTCAATGGATGACGTTTTCAAAGAACTCTTTGCTAGTATATACGAGCCCTTCTCTGGACTAAATGAGATGGATTATGAGCTCCATGGTATTTATATGGATCACGAACTAGAGCATGAGTTCGTGACTGCGCTTGATAAATGTAGGGACGTCTTTCTCAATGTTCTACTTAGTGATGAAAACTTAAGGAATTCAAGCATGGCTGATGAAATCAGAGCACAAGTTTATCAAGCTAATCAATGGCAAAGTGATGAAGAAGGTGAACAAGAGGCGGTGAAGAATAAATACATAATTCATGATCCAAACACACCATGGGATCATATGGAACCTAAGGTAGGTGATATGTTTGAGTCTCCTGCACAAATTAAGTTTTGTATTCAAAATTATGGGGTGTCAAATGGATATCAGATATACTTTGAAAAATGTGATAAAACTAGACTAGTTGCAAGATGTGGGAAGAGGACATAGATGAATGATTGTCCTTTCAGATTGTATGCTGGATGGATGTACAATGAAAAATAATTTCAAGTTAAAAATTTGGTTGGAGAGCATCGTTGTAGTAGGAAGTTCAAATTTGGAAGTCTTGTTTCCCCTGAATGGATAGGTAGGCATTACATTACTGAAATTGCAAACACACCTAAGATGAAACTTAGGGACATGATTGCTGACATTAAACAAAGGTTGAGATGTGTAGTATCCATTAGGCAAGTCAATAGGGCAAAAAAAATGGGCCACTAAGTTGATTGAAGGAAAACTAACTGAACATTATGCTAGGGTATGGGATTATGCTGATGAATTATTAAGGTCCAACCCAGGTTCAACATGCAAAGTTAGTGTCACTATCAATCCAGATGGGTAGAACTACTTCCACAGATTTTACGTAGGTTTCAAAGCTCTAAGTGATGGATGGAAATTAGGGTGTAGAGGAGTAATTGGTTTGGATGGATGCTTCCTAAAAGGACAGGTGAAGGGTGAGTTGTTGACTGCCATTGGTAGAGATGCTAATAACCAGGTATATCCTATAGCATGGGTTGTTGTTGATGTTGAAAACAAGCCTAACTGGACTTGGTTTATTGAGCTTCTTAGAGAGAGTGTACACCTTCATGATGACAGAGGATTGGTGGTGATATCTAACCAACATAAGGTTTGTTTTCAATGCTCCATTTTATATAAATGTTAATACAATTTAAAAGGGATGAATATTGACTTGAATGTTCTTGTCTTGTAGGGATTGGTTGAAGCTATAAAAGATATACTTTGAGATGTTGAGCACAGGCAATGTGCCAGGCATGTTTATGCCAATTTCAAGAAAGCATACACAGGGTTGGAGTTCAAGAAATTATTTTGGGTTGCATCAATGAGTTGTGTAGAAAGTGACTTTATGGGGCACATGGAAACCATCAAGAAGTTGAGCCAATCTTCATATGATTACTTGATGTCAAGACAACCAAAAACATGGTGTAGAACTTACTTTAATAGGGGTTATGCGTGTGAAGCAGTTGAGAATGGAATCTCAGAGTGTTTCAACTCAATCATTGTTGATGCTAGGAAAAAACACCCCTTATCACAATGCTTGAGGAGATTAGGATATATATATATATATATATATATATATATATATATATATAATGGATAGGTTTTCCCACATGACAGAGGAAAATGTTAAATGGAAATCAAATGTTTGTCCTGCTATACTTAGGAAAATGCAGTTGTTTGGGAAAAATATGAGGTATGCATAAAAGAAATTTAACATTTGTTGTTTCCTTTTATTATTCTTACTTACTATAACAATTTATGTAAGTTATGGGTTGTAGTTCATAGTCAAGGACATGTTTTTGAAGCTAGAAGAGGATGTGACAGCTATATGGTGGACTTGGATAGCAGGGCTTGCAGTTGCAGATTATGGGATTTGTCTGGGATCCCATGTGTACATGCAAATGCAGCCATCAACTACATCAATCAAACACCGGATGTATATATTGATGGGTACTTTTCAAAGGAAAATTTTAAAAAGTCTTACTCCTCTAATATCAAACCAGTGAATGGGAGTAATCTTTGGAGCCAAACTGGATTCATAAAGCCATTGCCTCCTTTGGCTAGGAGAATGCCAGGTAGGCCTACTACCAAAAGGAAGAGGCATGCTCGTGAACAAGAGGGGAGGTTTTCATCAACAAGGGTATTTGTACCAAGAACAGTAAGATGTGGGAAGTGCTTAGAGTATGGCCATAATCAAAAAAGTTTTAAGAATGAGAAAAAACCAGTAGTACCCTTGCCACCAAAGAAAAGAGGCAAACCAAGGAAAGATCCATTGTTAACTAAATATGATGAGTCATTAAGAGCTTCTCAATCCAGTCAGCCTCCAATGCAGAAAAACAAGTCAAAGAAAGAAGCATCAAGTTCCAAGGTTTTAAAAGCATCAAGGTCCAAAAAAGAGGCTACTGAATTTGATGAATCATTAAGAGCTTCTCAATCCACTCAGCCTCCAAATATGAAAAAAAAAGTCAAAGAAAGAAGCATCAAGTTCCAAGGTTTTAAAAGCATCAAGGTCCAAAAAAGAGGCTACTTCAACTCAGAAAGAAAATGTTTCTGCAACTCAAAAAGAACTTCGTGTTGATGGTATTCAGATTGGGGAAGGTGATTGTATTCAGAATGAGGATCATGGTGATAGTATTGAGACTGGGGATCATGGTGATGGTATTCAGATTGGGGAAGGTGGTGGTATTGAGACCGGGGGTCATGGTGATGATATTTAGACTGGTGATGTTAATTATGTTATTGTTGAAGATGGTCATATTGCTGAAGAAGTTGAAGTGGTTGATGTTGGAAAAGAAGATGTTTTTCTT